GCACAACATACATCAGAGTCTCGTTACCAAGGGGATTTGGGCTGATTTTGTAGATGTCGTTGACTGTGTGGATATTAATTAACCATCTGAATACAAACTGACCAGGTGGATGACAGTCTCAATTCCTAGCCCTGAGCTTACCAAAGGTCCGCCACAATGCACCGTTGAATATACAAAGCAGGACACAGATTACATGATGCATGATCCCATTCTCATAAAATGATAAGGTCGACAGTGGGAGAGGTGTCCTGGTGCACGGCTGTAGGATAGGCACCAGACTGCTGAACCAGGAGGTTGGTGGTTCAAACCCACCAGCAACTCCTCGGAAACCCTATGCAGGGTCACGATGGGTTGGAACTGAGTCCAAGGCACTTAACAACAACAACAAATGAATCACATAACAACACAAGGAGGAAATGGGATGAGAGCCATCACACTGGGGGGATTGCAGTCAATGGCATGAAACACAATGTGTATGGATTGTTAAAAAGAAAACCAATTTGCTCTCAAAACTTTCACCCAAGTCACAAAAAGTTTTTAAAGAACAGAAATATTTGGTGGAAATGTCTATAAAGCAGCACTATGATTTAGCTCCCAACTACTAACTGAAAGTTTAGTGATTCGAAACTACCCAGTGCCTCTCTAGGAGAAACACCTAGAGCTCTGTTCCCATAAAAATTACAGCCCAGGAAACCGTATGGGGCAGTTCTACCCTGTCACATGGGGCTCACTACGGGCTGAAGACCAGTGCAATGGCACTAACACTAACAATAAATGACTATATGTGAGTAAAAGGAGGAGGTTGGTGGTGGTTATGTGCCGTGGAGTCCGTTCTCACTCATAGTGACATTGCATAGGGTTTCTAAGGCTGTAAATCTTTACAGATGCAGAAAGCCTCATCTTTCGCCAGTGGAACAGCTGGTAGTTTCAAACTGTTGACCTTATGGTTTGCAGCCCAATTTGTAACCACTCTGCTACCAGAGATTGGAAATATATTGAGAAAAATATGAAAAGGAGTTATCTTTAAAGGTAGAATTGGGTGAGATTTTTATTATTCTTATACTTTTCTATACTGTTTGAATTTTCTACCTCAAGTATCTATTAGCCTTATAAGCTATGTTGTTGTTGTTATGTGCCATGGAGTCGGTTCGGACTCGTAGCAACCCTGTACAGGGTTTCCGAGGCTGTAAATCTTTACGGGAGCAGAAAGCCTCATCTTTCCCCCCTGGAACAGCTGGTAGTTTCAAACTGCTGACTTTAAGGTTCACAGCCCGATTCGTAACCACTACGCTACAAGATATATATATATATAGGGAGCTCTGGTAGCGTAGTGGTTACGAATCGGGCTGCGAACCTTAAGGTCAGCGGTTCGAAACTACCAGCTGCTCTGCGGGAGAAAGATCAGGCTTTCTACTCCCATAAAGATTTACACCCTTGGAAACCCTGTACAGGGTCGCTATGGGTCGGAACCGACTCGAAGGCACTTAACAACAACAACAACATATATATCTTCTAATCTTTCTGAAAGGAACATTTTACTCTCTGTACTAACACTACAAATAATCTCATAAAAAGTAACAAATTATACTCATCTTTATTATCATTCTAAATTCAGCATCTTCTTTTTATTTGTCATTTTATTCATAAGAATTCTCTAATATCTGGCACTACTGTACTTCTGAATTGAAATTACTTATGCTTTTGCTAATAACTAGCTATTATAAGATCCTGACATCTTCTGAATTAAAACAAAAAAATTAAAAAGAGTGACTAAAAGAGATTCTATGTGGTTTTAGATTCATGAATCAATAATTCATCCACATAGAGAAAGGTGTTTCATTAGCATCAACACCCCATGTCTGGCATATAGTAAGTGCTCAATAAATGTAAGATATCATTACCATTGTTTACGTCTATGCCAGAAAATAAAGTTTTGCTCCAAATTATTTGATTTTTATAGCAATTAAAGGCACAAGTAGAGCTAGAATGCTCCTTAGAATCCAGGATGTCTTGACTTCGTCTCTCTCATTGGACACATTATCATGAGGAACTAGTCCCTGGGGCAGGACGTCATGCTACATAAAGTGAAGGGTTAGTGAAAAGAAGAAAACCCCATGGAGGTGGACTGGCACGGTGGCAAAGGGCTCAAGCGTAACAATTGTGAGGTTGGCCCAGTACCGGGCAGTGTTTCATTCTATTGTTCATAAGGTCTCTATTAAGACTTGTATCAACTTGACTAACTTTAACTACTAATAGACACAAAATATAAAAGAGAATCTTCTGCGATCTCTTTCACAAGTAAAACTTACACGATCATCAGATTTCCTTAACCTCTTTTTAACAGTCAAGATTTTTCTTGTGCTCTCATGGGTCCGGACTGAGTCACTCTATTTAATAATTTTTCATCTTTTTATAAGCAAGAGTATATCAGCAGCTATTAGGAAGTAAATCTAGCTGGTGGTACACATGGTTGACAAATTCTCAACCTAGGTTCAACTAGCATACAGTTCTAAGAGACTGCGTCTAGACAGCAAAGGAAGTCAGCGTGGTCTCATTGCGCAGAAAGCTTGACGTGAGGGGTCCCTCCGTTACTACCACCACCAGCAGCCCATCACAGTAGCTGCAGTTGCCTGTGTTCTATTGGAAAGGCCACTGGGCTAGGAGGTAGGACCCCAGGAATCCAATCCCAGTTCTTCCTTTATACCACTGTCGACTCTGGCAAAGGCACATCCCCTACCCTTGATCTTGTAGAAACAGACTTTTGAGAGGCTTTCCAGATTTAAAATCCTACAGCTTCTGAGTCTTACCTTCAACCAGATTCTACAATTACATGTATGTTAATATTTTTTAAGTCCTTTAACAAGCTTTATACAGGAAATGGATTTAAGTTAGATGGAGATTGTATGACAGGGGAAAAAATGCTTTTTTATTTTTCAACAAATATTAAATAGATGGAAAGTCAGAGTTAGAGTAATTTCATTTGTTAGAAATGCACTGCTGAAGACCACGGACTGAGTGAGCTATTATAGCACCACATGATGGTTTAAGACTATGTCTCGAAATCAGGACTGTTGCAGTTTCTGACCTGGACATTTCTAACATTTCCAAAAAAAAAAATTAAAAAGTGACTAATGTATCCAAGAGCACTTCACCAATTCCTTTGTGACTAGGGCATCTTTATCCTATTGCCTGTCCTCACCCTTAATCCCGAATCTTCTTAACAAATTAGGCTACATTATACTATATGACCTGCCAATCATTTGTTAGTGGCTTCAGGATTTAGAGTCATCTAGCTAATCCTGGAAGACTCATAGCCCATATCTGATGAGACATGCAACACAGCCACACACACAAAAATGACTCCTGTACTTAGATGTCCTTTCTGTCACAGGGTATTTACCATGAAAGCTCTGCAGATTTCTGAAGAAACAGAGTCAGGATGCAGGGTGTAACGCCCCCCAGGAAAAAAGTATAAGGGGTGAAACATACTTATGCAAATTCTAAAAAGATCTATAAAACTGCAACCAGAGAATTTTATTATTAAGTTAAGCTTCTTAGTCTAGAAAGCCCCCAAACTCTCCAACTGGGCTATTAATCGAAAACTAGAAGAAATCACGAAGACTTCCCCCAATTTCTCATTCATCACAGTCAATACAGAATCCCTTCTCAGTATGATAATGTGACTTTTGTCAATGCATGTCCAAATCAGATAGAGGATTGGCTGCTGATGATGTCATACCTATGTGTTAATCCCTAGTGAATGCAGTTTTGATATCATATGCATCGACACACTATTTACATAACAAAGTATCATATTAAGTGTTTCAATAAATAAACATGCAGATAAAAGTAGCTATTAGAGACAGGGTAGGTGCCACTGAAAAAGAGGTAGGGGAGCAGAGCAAAGAACTTTTTGCTTTTTTTAACCTAAATGGAACTAGGTCATCAAACAATACATATCTCTAAAAGAGCAGAAAATGAATATTGAAATTCAAGTGACCTAGTACATTCTAGTACTAGCAATATGAGAAATGTTTCCAACCAAAGAAAACTACTCAACAATCAAGTAACATGCATTTGTAGGTGGGTTTCTTTTTGCATGTGGGAAAGTAATCAAATTAAGTCACTCACAAATAAGTGAGCAGGCAGCCACTGATTTTTTGAGTAAGGCAACTTTCTTACCTTTAAACAGGGGAAACTGGCCAAATCAAATTGTAACTTAACACCTTATAATAAAAGTTAAAGTGTCAAAAGGTAGTTAAAATGGCACTTGGGAAAGAGAGCAAAGTCACCGAAGGCAGAAAATTGAGACAGAAGAGTTTAGGAAACCTTGAAAGCTCGATCAAGAAATTCCCACACACACGAAGAAAGCTTTTGTACAAAAAGAGCAATGCCAACTCACACAGTTAGTTTAAAAGAACATAAGTCATCATTAGTCATAATGATTCTGAAAAATTGCTATCACACTGCCTTATTACAACCTGTATTTCTAATCCAAAGGAAGCATTGGGCTTTGACACTGATTTATGACTACAAACTTAACAGAAATGCCTTTCACTGTAAAACCCACAGCAAGCTTTTGTGGAATTCTTCAAGTCAGGCATCTGTTCTCAAATGACTGAATCAAAAGCACTAATTATATTGCAAAATGAATGTTCCTGAAGTATTGTAGCTTCTTTAATCCACACCTTGCCTGAACTGGGTTTAGACACACTAATTCGCCCCAACTTTTCCACTCTCAGGAAATAATCTGAAGGGGGCCAAAGTGGATTCTGTTATCAAAAAACAAAGCCATCAATGTGAACAAGTCTGGGTTTCTGACAGTGCAGGTGGAGGTCTGGGGTTGTTGTAGACATCTCTAAACCAAAGATAGGTGGAGAATCAGACCAAGTCTCCTCAAAGACCTATCCAAATGTCATATTGTTTCCATCTTGTTCATTCTAGAGGGCCAGTCATTGAAAAGTTACAAAGGAAAGAGTGCAGGGATTCGGACACTTTACCAGGGGGTTCTTTAATGCTGGGGACAAGATGGGCATGAATAGGTTTCAGTGCATCTCCGAACATTTGCGTATGTGTAGACACACATATATTTCTAGGGAGTTGATTCACAGCCTAGCTAAGGCTAGGTCCGTGGGTCCTAAACGTTAAATGATAATGATCCAGACGGCAAAGCGTAACGGTTACACAGCATCTGGCTCAAGATTGCTTCCCAAGGTGCGGAATATTACACTTTTCACTCCCACCGTTCTTCCTCAAAGATAAGCTCTTCGTTTAGGGTTACAGATGCCTTCTCTTCCAGGAGCGGATTGAGATCTGGCAAATGAGGAAACAAAGTGTGTGTGTGGGTGGGGGGGGGGGGGGGGCAAATGTAGAGATGCCCACCTGGAAGACAAATCCAGGTTGCCTAACTGGGAAGAGACGGAGCAGTCAGACCCGTTGGAGTTCGATACTTGCGCGCATTGCTTTGAGCTCCCAACCTGGTGGCGTAGTCGGGGTGCACGAGGCGCCCTTCGAGCAAGAGTCTCGCAACCAAGGATACAGAGTCCCCAGCTCCAGGGGTAAGGAAAGGGGTTGGGGGTGGTGGGGACCTACTCTTATACACCAGGCTCGTATCCAAAAGGTGAATCCACAAAGTCCACTTCTCCTGTGTAAGAATTCATGCTGAGTTCAACTTCCCCCATCCCCAAATTACACTTCCAAACAATTCATCAAGTGGTGTCCCCGCACTCACGAAGCACCCCGGTATCTCTGAACGGCAGGCATGAATCCAGAAGTTGGAAGTGGTGGCTGCACCTCCCCAGCCGGAGATCCTCACTGCATAATACCGCTTCCAACGTCCGGGTGCATGCAGATTACTGCACAGGCGACTTCAACCCCCGAACCCCAGAGCTCTGGGTTTAGGGCACTACTCTGAGTAGGGTCAAGTCTGTACCACCCCAGAAACCAGCTGCTGATGATGAGACAGCGTCCGAGCATTAGCGCCAAAGCCACCCCAAATCCATCTGCCCTCCTCCTCCTCTCCGCTTTCTACTACTTACCCAACTAGAGCCTATCGCCGCGTCTGACTGCCTCGCCGGAATCCCAGGACTCTCACAGCGCCGCCTCTCCAAGGGCGCACCACAAGCAACCCATCCTTTTGGCAGCGTCACCAAAAGAAAGTTCCTCCAAAGAGGAGTCCAAAGCGGCCGCGGAAGAAGCCGATTCTGCGGAGGCGTTGGTTGCAGCCGGAGATCTGAGAGTCCACCAGAGGCTGCGCGTTCTGTGCAGGTCCGTGCGCCCCGTCCAGCGCAGTAAACTGCCGGGGAGTGCAACGCAGAGCTCCACTGAGCGCGCCGGCCGGGAGGGGCCGAGACGTCGCGGGCCGAGCTGATTGGCCGGTCCAGCCTGCTGTCCCTGCCCCCGCTGGGCCCTGCGGTCCACGTGGGCTGGGCCTCTAGGCGCCTCGTACCCCTCAGCTCCCGACTCTTCTCACTAGCGCCTCTCTGTGGCCACCTTTCTGTAGATGACCGAGAAAGGTATTCTTTGGGAATACCTGAGAGCCACGTTTAGCCTTCCATAAGGGAGATGAATTTAAGATTTGGCTTCCAATCAAAAACAATCTATTCGTGTGGGATCTGCATCCTAGGACCCAAAACAGTTGCCAAACAGGCTTCTTTAGCCTCCTAGCTAGTAGCAATGCATAACTAATTGGGCTTCTTATTCAATTTGCTTTCGTGGAAGAGAAAGACAATCAAAGTGCATAGCAACACCAAAATGCATTTCTTATTTGTGAAATCATAAAAAGACAGTTAAGACTAAACCCACCTCTGACTCCATTCCCACATCACTCCAGAACGTCTGCCAAATTCTCGTCTCTTACCCACTTTGCCAAGTGACATTTAAATAGTGTGTTCATTTTTCATAGATTATTTTATATCTGTTTTACACCTGAGGAAACTAAGGCACAAAACAGTTAAATATTTTACTGAAGAATACCGTCAACGATAAAACTTGTATTTGAAACCAAGAAATCTGGTTGTAGAATCCATGCTATTGGTATTCAAAGTGTGGTCTAGCAGAAGCATCCCCTGAGAAACGCAGGCTCTGTGGCCCCACCCTGGAATCCGAGCCTTCATTTTAACAAGATCCTCAGGTGGTTGGAGTGTGCATAAAGTTTGAGAAGGATTGCTCTGTGCCATCTTTGCTGTTCACTGCCATTGGTTTGATTTATCATCTTCTGGACCTTTTGCTCTGCAATGACATAAAATTACAAGGGCAAGTCCAAAACTGTAGCTACAAAATTAGAGAAACATTTATTAAACAAAAATATCAAAAGGTGAAGCTACTGTTTCCTGACGTATCCTCCATTTAGGTTTATGCGGCTCTGAAGGCTGTATTTCCATCTATCTCTCTGGCCCTTCCCTGAAGAATTTTGCGCTCTTCGTTTTTACATGGTCTCAACACGGCAGCTTGGAGATCTCCAAGGGACTCAGATGGTACTCCTTTTAAATGTGGAGACACAAAGAAATTTGAAGGGAAAAGATCAGGGTTGTAAGGTGGCTAGAGTACGGCTTCCCTATGAAATACCCTTGGTACGCTCCAAAGAATAAACAGGTGCATAGTGATGAAAGAAAATTCCTGGGTTTAACTTTCCTGGCCCTTTTCTCACCAATTCAGTTCTCAATCTTCTTAAAGCATCTTCATATCATTCTATGTCCTTTAAGAATATCTATCAAGATCACCCCTTTGGCATCTTGATAGGAGCTCTGGTTACGAATCGGGCTGCGAACCTTAAGGTCAGCGGTTCGAAACTACCAGCTGCTCCGCAGGAGAAAGATGAGGCTTTCTACTC